TGGGGAGGAGGCTCTCCTCAGCCAGCCTGGCTGACCTGCTCGACAGGGCTTTGAGCTAAGCCCACTGGAGGATGAGGGGGGACTACCGCCACAGCAAGCCCTCTGGGCAACTTTTGCAAATCCAGCAAGCTAAGGCACTCAAGGGAACTCACCCTTACCCCAGTGCCAGAGTGATCTGTAGGAAAGGCAAGGGCCCCCAATGGGACACTTACATGCCTGTGCACCAATGCCAGGAGCCTGGGAAATAAACAGGAGGAACTGGTCCTCCTGCTAAACCAAAACAATTACAATCACATAGGGATAATGGAGACCTGGTGGGACTCCACCTATGACTGGGCCACAATTATAGATGGGTATACCTTGTACAGGAGAAATGGTGTGGACAAAGGGGGTGGGGGTGGGTAGCTCTCTATGTCAAGGAAAGCTATGCATCCCTGCAAGCTGACATTGGCATCCAGGGGGGACGATTGGAAACTCTCGGGGTCAAAATCCGTGGTGAACAAGGCACAAGGGACACAATGATGGGGGTCTACTACAGACCTCCTAGACAGTATCAAGAGCTTGACCAGGCATTTGCCAGGGAACTGGCTGAGGCTTTGTCATAGCAGACTTCAACTACCCAGACATCTCATGGGAAGAGCACTCAACCAAATCTGAATGGTTGCAAAGCTTCCTCATGTGCGTGGATGAACTCTACCTGACTCAAGAAGTCTATGGACCGACAAGAGGCGAAGCACTGCTCAACCTGGTCTGGCACAGGGGGATGATCTGATCAGCAACCTAACGATCGAAAAGAAGCCAGGAGACAGTGACCATGAGCTGATCACTTTCACCATCCACCGTAAAGCTGGCAAGTCAGTCAGCAACGCATAAGTCCTTGACTTCAGGAAAGCTAACTTTGGAGACAAGGCTAGATGAACACCTTGCTGGGGTCGTTTGACCCCAGTACTTTTTCCTGCCATGGCAGGGGGTCGTACTTGATGATCTGCTCAGGTCCCTTCCAACCCTACAAATTATGAAACTATCCTCTCAGCTATGTCCTGGATATGGGCTCCTGGGAAGCAGCAGGCCTCCTGGGCTAAGGGGTCGGGGCAGCAGATTGCAACCTCGGTCCCTCTCAGGAGGGAGTTTCCCACAATGACCACTCCATGTGTGGCCTTAGGGAAAGCTGGGATGGTAGCTTGAGTGGTCCTCCCCTGCCTGCAGGAGCTGGCAGCTCTGCAGGCTCTACTGGGGCTGCAAGAGGTTCATACCTGTTGCAAAGCCCCAGAGGGGAGGCGACCCTGGTGCAGCGGGCCTTGGGGCTGTTGACTAGCTTGGTCTAACCCCCAGGTTGGACAGTGTGGGAGATCCTTGAGTTGGCAAGGCCCTAGCGACCATGACTCGAAGGGGAGGGGAGCTCAGGATGAGTGGTTGCTCTTGAGCTCCCCTCCCAGGAGCCCATATCCAGGAAGCACAAGCAATGTCGATCCCATCTCAGAGGAAAGGCAGCAAAAGGGCACAGAAGCCCCCTTGGCTCTGCAGGGAACTTGTGGACCTCCTGCGTCTTAAAAGAAAGACCTATAAAGGATGGAAGACTGGATCTACCTCAAAGGAGGAGTATTCTGCACTGATTCAGACCTGTAGGGAGCGAACCAGGAAAGCCAAGGCTGCAACTGAACTCCAACTGGCTACGCGTATCAAAGACAATAAAAAGTCCTTTTTTAGATATGTGGGGAGTTAGAGGAAAAGCAAAGGTAACATCGGACCCCTGCTAAACTAAATGGGACAACTGACAGCCAACACCCAGGAAAAAGCCAACCTGCTTAATGGGTATTTGGCATCGGTTTTTCACCAGCCCCGGTTTTTCACCAAAATGCTATGCTAATAGATTTAAGAATGCAAATACTTCAAGCATACATTGCAAAGAAAAACATGGTTGTTGTGGTTGCACCAAAAGAAAGAGAAGCTTAATATTTGTAATTTATTGTTTATTTTCATATACAAAAAGATAAACTTGAAATAATTCTTTCTAGGGTTTTTTTTCCTCCTATCAGTTGGGGTGCAGCTGGTTCACACTGAGCAAATACTACATTCATACTGGTTTATTCGGGCACCCAGTGCAAAGCTGAAGCAGCAAAACCCCAACTTGGCAGATCTAGTTTCAAACTTGAGACTCATTTCTAAAATACCACAGTAAAAAGGAACAAAGATCCACTGCAAATTTATGAACTATGATACAATGTTCTTTCCAAAATGTCTTCATTTCATAACCGCAATACAATGGATGTCTGCTTTAGGCCATTTTATATATGTATATATATATTTTTATATATATATATAATATATATAAAAAATCAGCACACTCTTCAATCCAAAAGGGGTTACAGCAACGAGCTTATCTCTTCTGTATACTCTTTTTCTTTAACAGGATACTTTAGTATAATTTTTGTTAACTCAGTAGTACAAGCTATTTCTGTTCTACATTTTTATAGCTACAAGAGTGAAATATAACCTACAACATTTACATTTCACATATCTTGGTATACAAACAGTACTTATTGAATTTGAGCCAAGGACCAAAAGTCTTTAAAAATTATTTCACCATCTGATAGAGCTTCCTGTAATTTACACTCAGTTTACTTTTGCCATCTTCTAAATCATTTACTTAATCTCATCATCTGAGTTATTACATCATTCACACTGGAAATCCTGGAGAAACAGGTTACTGCAAACTCTTATGTATACTCATATATATATATACAAGTTAAGTAACACAGCGTAATAAGACTTAGCTATCCATCCTAAAACTGATATGCACATATTTCACTAAGCTAGACAAGTCTTAGGATTTTTTATTTTATTTCTTTAAATAAAGCACAAATTTAGAAAGTAGCTGGTAAAACTGACAATATGATGGTTTTAAATGACACATGGTTAGGGTGAGATTTCTTTCTGCTGGTGCCAAAACATTTTCTCGTGAGTTTTGTACTATGCTGTGTTGTTTAACTGTATGCGTCTAATGTTACATGCAGAAAGCTCTTTCCACAAGAATTGACAAATTGTACTGAAGTCCACTTCACAGTATAAAATTCGTCAAACTTAAGGACAAATGTGAAAAATATTAACAGGTGAAAGATTAGGCCTTCAACTCTATCATGACAATCATGCAGAATTCATTAAGCAGATATTCTGAACAGGATGGCAGTGGCATTGTGCAGATTTTGGGCGTAGACTTGGGATCAAGAAGCATGTTAGTTTGCAGTAACCACCTTCTTTATTTGGGGCCCATTAAACATCTCTTTTTGCACCAATACATGATTCCATGGAAAAGCCATTGGCATGAAAAATATCGCCTTCTGAGAAATTTTAATACTTTTGTATATGATTTATTAAAGATTCCCTGTGACCATCAATAGCCACATAAACATTTGACAAACTAACACAGATCCTAAAAAAAGGAGCAACTGATCTTCCTTCCTTCCAATTAGTTCATCTTTGGATAGAAAGGTTACCATGTCACATACATAAAATGCAAACTATATTGGTGCATCAGGTACCTAGCTAAAATTATAAACCGTTTAATACACAGCTCTCAAAAAGACACGGCTGGTGAGAACAGGACTATAGATTTTTCCTTCTGGAGAGACTGGTAGGCTTACAGTTCTCTCAATCAAATGCTGTTATGAAATAATCCATTAGGGTTGAAGTTCTTCATAAGACAACCCACAGGAGAAGGGGGTGGGGGAAGTAAGATCCATTTAAATTATAAAGATCTGTCAATATGCCCCCTGCTATCCAGAGAACGTTGTTTTCATCATTACACTCCATGCACAACTCCGCAAAATATCTCAGTCCTGATCCTCCTGGCTGTCTTCTTATATGGGCAAATGTGCGGCCAAGAAATGCTACTAACAGCTACTCAACCGGGATTTTAAAATGACTATGATGGTCACTGGGTAAAACTTTAATTTTTTAGAATAGGAGAGAAAATTGAACAAGTCATGGCCAATGCTTTCCTTTTCACAAAAAAACAAATTTTTACAGTAATTTTCCCAGAAGGCATGGTGGTTCATTATGGTTTAACCATACCAACCTTAGCCGAATGGTCTACAGTTTTTAGCAACTGGAATCGTCCCCCCTACCCTCTGCTTCCAAAGGGGGCAAAAATGCAGGAACAGCATTTTAACCATAGAATGTGCGCCAATAAAATACTGAAAATACTAGAAAGAGAACAAAGAAAGCACTTTTCGGATAACAGCCTCTTGAATCACATCCAGCACAATGCCATTATAGAGCTTTCCAGAAGCCCTTCTGGTTTTAATGTTGGAAAACAAAAAGGTTTGCTTTTTTCCTTCAGTCCTTGGGGATCATTTGCCATTTATATATATATATTATATATATATATATATATAATATAAAAACACCCATATGTAGCAGGGTTCCTGTTTGCGTATGTTACAATATTGTAGCATCAAGGAGAATCCAGATAGCAACACTGTTTAACGTGAGGTTTGAGGTAATTGGTTCTTGAAATACCTGGATCACAGAATGCATCCAGAAACAACAGCTGGGCAATGAAAAGTGTTTTCTCAGACAGAAAAAACAAGTGAAAATATAGCTTGCAGCAGTTGCTTTTACATGGAAAAATAAAGGCACAACAGAATAGTGTTACATTTCGGATGGACATAACAGAAGTATGATTTTTTTCCTCTGGCAGTGTACAAGTAGAAAGGATTACTGCTTACTTCATGAGCTTTAACTTTAGTGAGAGAGAGAGAGAACTTTGCCCTAAACCAGAAGTTTTAGAGAACAGAAGTTGAATGTAAAGAAGAGGACAGGTTCACCAGGGACATTCAGAAAGTGCATCAGGGACACGCGCATCTCCTGGCTCTGCTCATGGAAATAGCAAGCCTGCCGCTGGCTTTAATGGGGACCAAAATTTCACCTGGAAAGACTGATGTGGAAGAATGATTTCTAACTACATAAGGCAAAACCGCCTTAAGCGTTCTAAGCCCTGATTTCAAAAGGGACCTGGTCAAGTCCACTGAATGCCACAGAACTGCATTCATCTTAATGGATACACTTTCTTGTTTGGTCTCAAGCTGTTTCCTGCAGAGTTTGCAACTCTGGCATTGTGGCATCAGGGTAGTGTATAAGAACCAGTCTCACTTTCCAATTTTCTTTACCATCTAGTCCAATTACACTGCCCTACTTGACTTAGAAGAAAAAAAGAAGGAACGGCAGATCTACATTTTTTAAATTCTTGCAGAAACACCCATGAGTAACAGTTTAGGAAGCTTTCTTTTCTGAAGATGATTATTAATATGGCAGTGTCCCACACGTTTATCAGGGGCCGGACTGCCCCTAACCTGCTGGCAGTGAAATCTGACTTCAGAAATGCAGAAACCCTGGAAAAGTCTGACTTGTGTAGGCTGTCAGTACATTTAAGAGGGAAGGGACTTCTAGGAATTTGTTTTATCAATATTTACTGGCAACAGCTCCTTACAGATCACATCATCCAGGAAGCAGAAGCATTTATAGTAAATGAATGTGGCAAACAGTTAGATCAGCCCAAGTATTTGGTCTTTTTAAATTCTTAACACTGACTTCACAACCTACTACAGCACCAGAGCAAACACAAACCCATACCGCTTACCACCCGGTGTTTTACATGGATACGTGAAAAAAAATCTTCCTGGTTAAATCTGAAGATGGTTATACAAAAGCAACAAGCATCTTTTGCAGAAAGGATGAGACGCGATATAACCAATTTTAACAATATAAATAGTGCAGTCCCCAAAACATGTCCAAGTACTTCCAAACCTGCTGCTTAAATTGGTTTCATACTTGACTTTTCTATCCGCTAAACTCTGATGTAGTGCAGTTAGATTAAACATTATATATAATCTATATTTTTGCTGTGTTTACACAGACCTCTCTCCCTTTTCCCTGCAGAAACATATTAGACTTTACAAAAATAATCTGTGGTATAAAAGAATTTTCACACAATGTAGAATTTGATTGTATATGCAACTAAAAATATATATTTTCCCCAAAGTAAAAAAGGTCAAACCATCCTTATTTTTCCCTATTATTATATAGCCTACTTTTTATTTACAATGCCACCAAACAATATTTTGTATGCAAAAGTGTTAGACTGGGGATGCTTCTTGCTTAACCACCTCAACTGGAGTACTACTTGAACAAGAACTACAACATTATGGTCACAGTGCTATCAAGCAGTAGCGTCTTCTGCAATTTGAGTCTCTTACTTTCCTAACAAGAATATCTTTTATCCAGAAAACAAGGTATGTTACAGTCTGCCTACGAGCCAGTGCTATAGGAATTAAACTGGTGTTTCTCAGTTTGCATGCTGTGGGCTGAGAAATCAATGCATTTTTGCATCTGAGTGGGCTTCCAAGATCCCATCCTGCTCCTACTGATGTGAATGACTTCAGTAGAAACAAGGTGGAGTCCACAGTACCAGGGAAAAAGGAGTTTTCTTACTAATTACAGAATTAGGAAAATGACGTTTCCTGCGCCTTGCCTCTAACACTTGTACACACCCCAGAGGTGTAGCATTTCCGCAGGTGTAATTTTTACCTACCATGTTTTATCCTGTAACAGAACTGCACTTTGAAAGCATGAGAAAGATGGGTAATAAGAGCACCAAGACATTCTGGCTCATGCTTTGAAGTGACCCTATATTCATGAAGGCCCCTCATTAAAGAAAAGCCGTGTTCAATTTGGGGCTGTGTTTGCATTCTTGTGCTTAAAACAAATACTGCAACCTAGAGGATGTGAAGATGTGAACGAGTCAGTCTTTGTGTGTCCTGATCAATAATATAAAGGAAGCATCATAGGTTAACCAAACCAAATGATTAGAGGAATTCAAGTGTGGGGAGATGCCCTCGACTACAGAAAGTGCTTAAACTTGTGTATGCATTCATCACAAGAACTAGGGGCCCCGTCTTACACTCAGATATCCTGACCTCAGTAGACACAGAAAGGTGGATTATGTTGAAAGTAACTATTGTGACAATATAATTCATAACAGTTTTACTATTAACTATTGCAAGACTTAAGTTTCCTTCAAATTTGTAGGGTAGGAGTTTGTAATGATTTTTTTCAAGGGCATGACAAAATGGCAGGAGGAATTAGTGACTGGTTATATCTCAAATGGATTTTAGTTTAATTTTTATTTAAAGTTAAAATGAAGTAGTATATTATTCATACCTCGACTGACAATCAATAGTGTAATCCTTTACAAGCATGTATAACTTCAGGAATGAATGGATTCTGCCTGTATCATTAGAGCAATCAACGATTTCTCACAGCATGTGCTATTAGGTTATTATAAGCTAGATTGTGATGCCTTCATTCACATCAAAAAGTACCTTACTCCAGAAGTTTTATTGTTGTTTTTTTTACTGGACTTTAACATTAGGAAAAGAATTGCAAAACAGCCCTACTATTCAATCCATGGCTGGCTGCTTAGCTTTCTGGCAACTGAACTCTAAAAATATTAACCGTGGCTCACTTGACTGCCTTGTAAAACATGGCTTATCTTTTGAGAATAAAATGCACAAAAGACTGTCAATAGTCTCTGTTAAGGAATTAAAATAATTTAAAAATCACTTCTGGGGTACACCGCTCCTAAGTTCACAGAACTTAGACTTCTAGGGTACTTACAGATGTGGGGGGGAATCCCAAAAAACAGCATTTTACTTTCAGCTCAGTGCTCCCCCATGCCAAGTGCAGCATATACCCAGAAAAGGAACTGCCCGGGGTCTGTACAGCTCATGTACTTCAGCGGGGCTTTTTGGTGCTTTTATCTAATAGCTGATTGGATCAGCTATTAAATAAAAGGGCCAAACCCCGCCGCTGAAGTGCATAAGCTATACAGGTGCCAGGAAGCTGGGTCAAACTGATGTGATTACTCTTCCAGTAAAGTGCTGTTTTCTTTTGTTTTGTCTTTCCCCACCTGTCAGCAGCCCTAAAGAGTACCAAAGCCCCTCCGCCGTAGTGGTGGCAAAAAAAGAAAGAACGAACAATTTACTTCCTTTACCAGGTTGCTGGAGATTATTTGACGATCCAGACCTATTTAAAACCTTTAATCAGCGTGAATAAATTAACTGATGCTTATCCAAGACTAATTTACAGCCTTTCCTTCTAAAATGCACATATATTTAAAACGAGAGCGCTACACTGATTTCCAAAGCTGCTGCTCTGATATTATCATGGGATTAGCGAGTCCATAGTTCTGTCACAAACAGACATTTTCTGTTATTGGAGAAGTTCCCATCTTGGAAGAGTAGGGAAGGAGTGTTGTTGCACACATGACAGGGCAGGAAATATGCAAGGAACAAGGTTTTTGGAGGATAACTTTTACTGGCCCAACTATATCGCTGGGAGAGATGAGACAAGCTTTTGGCCATAAGTGCCCTTTTGCATCTTAAAGTGTGAGCTCGTACTTTACTTACCCATGAAAATGAACAAAGCTATCTTGGTAAATTTAATCCATACATCCTACACAGGTCTACCGAATGTGGCACGCTACATCCGAGGCCCATGCGGGTGGAAGGAAACAGGCGCTATGCTCTGCTCTCAGAAAAAGGATGCAGGACAGGACCACCCAAAGCACTTGTGGGAGAACATGTTTCAAGGACAGTCTCTCTGTCCTGACTTCACGGTCCGTACATTCAAGAGAAATCTACCTTCCTTTTTCACGTCCTTGTGACAAGGTATTTAGCAAAATTTGCAGATTCGTTGGAATCCGACAGGGCTGCACCGCTCCTGAAAGTTAAGCACCACTCCTGTACCGAACACACAAACACAGGGCCTGGGGACAAACACTCACAGCTTTACTGGACGCTAAAGACCACGGACTAAACATACACTACCGTTTCCCGACTCGTTAGAATTGAACTGCTGTTTCTGTTAACCTCTCTGCACTCCATAGATAATAAAGACCCTATTTCCCTTCTGAATGGGCTTTTCTTTTACATAATTAGCTTATCTCTTCAGCTGCACATCTCATTTTGCAGCTCCTTGCGATAACTTCTTTGCTCCAGGTTTACAACCTCTTCCACTCTTTTTTTCTTTTTCTTTTACATATGGAGTTAAAACACAGGCCACTTTTATCTAGTATTTAGCTTAGGCTAGACCTGCTTCCTTCCCAGCTTTGAGGAAGGGCACCTTGTGCTGGAAAGCTTGTCTAACATCTCTCCCAACTATGCAATTGGTTCAATGAAAGATATCACCAAAAAAAACCCTTGCTTCTCATATTTCCTGGCCACAATACCACTCCAACCCAAATCCTGATACATTCTTGACAACTAAAATAAAGGGTAAAATCTTGGCTCTGAGGTCGAGGAAACTTTTACTATTATCATTGCCATTTAGGTTATTTCCGATTAATATTAAACTATAAATTATAAATGGAGTGACCCACTTTTGGATTCTGCAAGGAAACTTTTAAAGAGCATATTTTATGTAGGCTTCTATCTTTGCCTGCATACATGGCAATCACTAGTACTTCACAATTAATACCTGGTTGAACCAATCTGATTTAAAAGAGTGTTGGATGAAAACTGTTGCTTATGAAGACTACAGCTGTGAATACAGCTTATTGCTAAATTGGGAAATGCCTTTACAGTACTGAACGACATTTAAGTGAATGTAATAAAATGGACAATTCCAATGTCAGAATGCAGACATTAAATTATCTGCTTGGTCTTTAGAAAATTAGGCAGCTGAGACCATCAGGGATCATCTACATGAAAGCGTTGCACCAATTTAACAAACACATATTTAACACGTTTAGCTGAACTGGTGCATGTTTGTAAGTAGTCAAGAGATAGATGTGCACACCCACCCGCCCCACAGTTGCCCTTAACATTTCTAATTGGACACGCATGCACTTCAGAAACTTCCTCTAACCAACTCTAGACATAATTTAGTAAAATGATCTGTAAGGAACTGTTAAGCCAGGGAAAATGCCAGTACATCTCAATCCGCATGTGATCGAAGTTTGTATGTCCTTACAGTTCCCTGCAGTAAAAGAAGCTACATGTGGTAAGAGGTTTTGCTTATGCTGTCTCGAGGAGAAGGTTGAAGACACCGTCTAATAGGCTATTAAAATCATATGGCACTTTCAATAAATACTTTAAAGCTTCTTAACGAAATCATGTTTGGAAAAAGCAACTGCTGTAACAAGCCCGTTTTAGCTTTTACACATTAATGCTGAAGGAAAAAAAATCCAAAACAGCACACAGATCAGAATAGTTAAAAGACAGTACAGCTTTTTTCTTTCTGTAACAATCTGAACCGACTCCCCTATACAGAGAACCCCCCCCAAAAAAACTAGTTTATTCAGTCTTCGCGCTAAACTCCCACCCCCCCAAAGCTTACATCACTTTTCCAAAGCATCAAATGCGTGTGTGTGTATATATATATCTCAGTGCACAAGTGTACTCAAAGGACAAAAGACAGACACTGATCCTGCAAACATAGGCATATGCTTCACTTGCAGCATGTAAATAGTGCTGTTGACATCAATAAAGCTATTTGCATGCCTATCGTTCAGCGTAAGTGTGTTTGTAGCATCACTGCCAAAGTTGTTACCCCCCTCTTCCCCTAACAGGGGCATGAAGTGTGCCAGAATGGTATGATTTTGCTTCTGTTTTTGTTAACATGTTCTGTACAGGATCACATTAAGAATCAGAAACTGCCACACACATGCACAAGCAAATACACTTACATGTGTGTATGTATTAATATGCACATATACATTCATTAACTTGAAAGAATAGTTTAAGACTTTATAAGTTAAGGCAATTATCTGTTTCTCTCCAAGAAAAAGGACTTTGTCCTTTTGTGGACTCTAGTGTGGTGGGTTTTTTTTTTAAAGCTACACTTTTGAGAAATATATTCAGCGTTATACTTTATTCTTCCAATTGGTAATTTTGTTTGCTGAAAAATGACACCTACACTAACATTCCCTGTTGACAATCTGTGTATGACAAAATGCCCAATCTGTTTCTCTAATACCAATTTGTATATTTTAACAGGGTAATTAGTTTAGGATTGTATTTTGGCATCAATGCAAACAAAAGTTTAAAAGTCCTGGCAATCAAATAAGGATAACTTTGTTAGTCTAGCAAGACACTGATGTTCATATTGATTTCATAGGCTGAGAAAAAGTAAAACACGTAATAAAAAGATGTACTGTCCTTTCACTAAAACAGACCGAACAAAATAACACAGAATGGAAACAGTCTTCACAAACAAGAGTGAATAATGCCCAGGTACCTTATATAGGCAGTTATTCTACAACTGTATACAGTTATTTACAATGGTGCTTTATAAAACAAAACCAAAAAAAAAATGGTAACACTTCCTAAAAGATTTTGGAACTTTTTTTCTTTTTTTTTCTTTTTTTAAAACTCCCTTGTCATAAAAGCCAACTTACATTAAAATATACTTACTACAAGACAACACAACTAACAAAATATATAATAAAACTCATACAAGTAGAAAATTCTGAGGTATTTCTGGTTTGAGGTGGTCTGTGGTCGTGAAGTTTAATTTTTTTTTTTCAGTTTAAACCTCGAAAGCCGCGTAACGTGTGTGTGTGTGTTTTGTTGTTTGTTTTTTTTCTTCTTCTCAAACATTGCATGTTTTGCAAATTAAAAAAATATTTAAATGTTGAATCAGCAGCATTAGGAACATTCACTGACTAGAGCAAGTTTATGGCATAATAGAGTAACGGTATTTTAAAATATGCACCACTTTAAGACAAAAAGAGTTTAGTCACAGAGTAAGGAGAAAGCAGCATCAAAGAAACCAGTTTAAAAGATGCTATGATAAACACCACTGCTGCTCGGTCCACTCCTTGTGATCTATAACTGTACAATTCATATACTTCTTGGGTGCTACAGCAGTTGTCTGTCATTGGCCCAGGTCATGTGTTTCTCCCTCCAGAAATTCATACTTTTTTTTTTCCTTTTATCCATCTACACTAGTAGCTGGGGCTAAGCAGTCATCCAACCCTGAGGCCTTTTTCCCTGAACTGCTACAGTATTTAAAGCAAGATGCAAATGCTTTCAACTCTTCCAGTACATACTTCACATGGCATTTCTGAGAACACACTTAGTTCCCTCTTAGTTATGCTGCTTAAAAGCACTTTCCTCCCCTTATTACCTGGGGTTTAGAAAATAAAACTCAAGCGTGGTCTTTGTCACTGTTGTTCTTTTAACACCCAAGCCTGAGATAGTGGAGGAAGAAAGAACTAGTGCCTTGCTTATGCCATTGGCTCTTTAACCCAACTTTCTCCATGCACTGCAGTGAATAATACTCTGCCTCAAAAATGTCCTTCCCCTCGTTAACTGGTTACCTGAGAAGTAGCTCCATAGCAAATGATGTTTCTCCAAATGCTGCAAAGTCCAACGTCGCTCTCCCCCAACCCCTATTCTAGACTCCCCCCTTCAACTCTGCCATCAAAGAGTTAACATTCGCTTTCCGGTTTCTTTTTTTTCTCCCATGTTACAATGACACCCGTTAGATCCGTAAAAGACACATCTGCTGTTTTTTTTTTTTTTTGAAGCTCACTGTCTTAAAAAAAAAAAAAGAAAGAAAGAAGTGGGGGGGAAATAAAACAGGGGAAAATATCCTTTTGAGGAAGGTGTAATCTTATGTAACAGTCTTAAGTTTTCTCCAAAGTTTGCAGCATTGTGTTTTCTAAGATGGTAGGTGGTTTTCCTTTACGTCACAGATGCTCTGTGTAGAAGACAGACCAATAAAGAGAAACCCAGAAAACTGAATTAAAAACAAAACTGAAGCGAGTTTGTTGAGGTTCTGAGGTACCTGCACCTTTTCTGCATTCATTAGTCGGCGCCTGAATGCTTGCTGAGATGTCCATTTTTTTTTTTAATACAGTAGAGCAATGTGCTGGTAAAAATGATCCGATCCAAAAAAATAATAATAATAACAATAATAATAATAAAAAGTCAAGATAAAATAGCAGCTGCATTCATGTGTTTGTTGGGTTTTTGTTTTGTTTTGTTTTTTCACTTTTGTTTTTTCTTTAAATCCACTGAGTCTGGAAAAAAAAGCGAACCAGGACTTAGATACTAGACTCTTTGGGCGGCAAGTCCACATTTGTGACGGACGTCACGATGGAAACGAGGCAGTCCGAGGTAGTGCCGTTTACCGATTTGCGGATCTGAGAAATACGCTCTTCGACACAGCCTGCTGAGAGTCGGGCCTCTGCATCGTGGTCCCAGCATTCTTCAATTGTCACACACAGCTGCGCCAAACCCTGCGGAGAAGTTGGGAGACACAAGCACGCTTAGCAGACAGGTTCTCTTTGAAACGGTCTTGATACTGGAGCAGGGAGGCGCCTCCATATAGGTGTGCCTGTGTTGCACGTCTGCAAAGCACGGAAGGGAGAAGTCCAGTAGGGCTTCCCCCCCTTCTCTTGCACATGGTGCCTTGACCTGGGGCGTGACAGTGAGAAAAATGAGAAAAGTGCACCAGGCCCTGGCGTGCCTATCATGCTGCCATGTTCTGAGTCATGGTGCAGTGTATCAGCATGGGGGGGACCCCTATGGGAGCTCCCCACTCTTCACTTGAATCCCCCTACAGAGCGACTCTCCAGCATCCAGTCTGCAAACACAGAAGGAAGAAATCCTGCAGGACTTCCCCCCTCCATGCTTTGCAGGGAGATTCCCCTGAGCCCTATCACACGGGTGCATCTGCAAGCGGGAAGCCTCAAGCTGGAGCAGAGCACCCAGGGCCCTTTTTCCCCAGGACCAGGCCCCTGAAGCCCTGGGAGGGGCAGGGGACAGACCCTGGAGGGTGGCAGCACTGGCAACACCTGTTAGAAATTCTTGTAGCAGCTCAGGTCTGCCATGACATATTATGGCACAGCTGATTATGCTCCAAAGCGGACATCTGTTTTCAACCTAGGTTTCAAGGCTTTGAGGTAGAAAAGTCAAGTACTGTGATACTGAGAATAAAATCATGAGATTCAGTAGTACTGCTACCAACACCATAACTTTATCATATTCCTAATGAAATGCATCTTCATTTGTGTATTCATCCTACAGAGCTACTGTGCTAAACACCCCACCATCAGTACTGCTAACCTCCAATTATTTGAACCCAAATTACCAAGAATTCTGAATAAGCAACATTTAGCCACATATTCCAAGAACAAATGTCCCCAATTTTTGGAAAATTACATACCACTGAATCTGCCTAAGACTGACACAGCTAGTCTTCTAATGATGGAATCAGAAGGCAGGCAGCCTTTCAAATATTTGAAGACTGCTATCATGATGTCCTTTTCCACAATAGCTTCATTTTCTCCAAACTAAACACAGACACTTCCTTCTTTCCTCATACAGCTTGCTTTCCACCCTCATCATTTGTTGTTCACCTTAGGACCCTTCCCAGTTTATCATCATCCTTCTTACAATTAATGCCCAAGGCTCAACATATTGCTTCAACTGAGACTTCACCATCATGAAAATGGTTGGTCCTATCAACTCTTATGTCATGCATGTAAACGTTCTGGTAATGCAACCCAAAATGGCACGTGCCGTTTTTACAACAGTATCACAGAGTTGACTCATGTTGAATGTGTGACCTACCATAAGCCCCAGATCCTTCTCAGCAGTGCTACAGCCTGACTACTGCCCTCCTCTCCTCCATTCTTTATTTGTACACCTGCTTTCTTCCTTACGGGCACATCTACATCAGATGGTACGTCATCATAGCAGTGAGCTATGTCGCGCAGCTCATTGCTACAGTAACGTAGCGCTGGCGGGCACGAACTGTGACACCAACACTACTGCACAGTAGCTCATTGCTACTACACAGTAGCATGGGAAAAAACCCATGTGGCTTAAGCAAGTACTTAAGAACTGCAGAGTCTGGCACGCATGTAGATGTGCCCTACGTGTAGCATCTTACATTGATCCTAGCTGAATTTCATTTTGATCTCTTCAGCCCAGTTCTCCAATTTACCAAGGCCCCTTTGAATTTTAATCCTACCCTCCAAAGTGTTTGCAACCCCTCCCAGTTTTTTATTGTCTGCAAATTTCATCAGTACACTCTCATTTAGTTCAAATTTGGTTTTAAATACATAGCTTCTTACCAGAGCACGGATCTACCGCACCTCCTTTGTATCAACAATTAGTTATATCAGGGATAATAGTCTTGCCTTTGATAAACGCATGCTGCATCTTTATCCCATTCTCCCTTCATTTCTATATCTAATTAATCTTTCCCTCAAAATTTGTTCTGAAGCCTTGTCTGCTATTCAGATCAGACGTGCATGTCTATAGTAGACTGGATCAATTTCCCTCCTTGCTTAAAAATAGCTACTGCATTTACTATGCTCTCCCCATACTAAATAAGGTCTCATAAACAAATGCAAGAGGCAAGGATGGCTTAGGGTGATATCTTACTGGCCCAACTGCATAGCCGGGACACAGTTAGACAAGCTTTTGAATGCAAAACATTCTTGCATTGTAGGGA